TCCGTCGTCCACGTGCTAGGGTCCGCACGTGTGACGGGAAGCACCTACGATTGTCCTAGACGTACTGGATTTAATGCTCAGAGCAGCCGCAGCTGGGTCCTGCTAGGGGTCGATCACTTCTGACTTTAGAGAGTGATGACTGTAAGTAACATGGTTTTACTGTTTTTTTCTTGCCTTCAAACCAACTTAATAGTCTCATAGTACTAGATGCTAGCATGTCATTCCGGAAATGTAGCTTGAAACCAGAGGTATTGCATCGACAGAAATGCCAGGCTGGCTGGGCTTTGTTACGTTGTGACGTCACGCTGCAATCAGCTGAAATGTTCGCGACCTTCAATATCCTTGCCAGTGGCGCTGCCAGTTTGTGCTGGCGTATGTGTGGGTTGGGGTGGGTCGTTTCGGTGGCAGATGCGAGCGAAAAACCTATTTATTGTTATCGTACAGCGCAGAGAGATAGTTGAAAGTGTGAGAAATAGTGTTAGATGTCTGGTTGATCTGTTAAAACTGGCATTGTATAGTTCGCATACTGAGTGGGATCTGCGCTAACCGTCATGGGAAGTGCGAGGCCTGTATCGGGAATGCGGTTTGTCCAACAAGGCTGTGCGTTTAGGTGGAGTCTGATGCGATTTTATTCTTGTAGGCACAACCTCGTCCATATGCCTGTTTTGTGCTATCCTTGGATGTCTAAGCTGCTTACAAAATATGGCCTGAGTTTGCTACATATTCACTGAATGACAGGTGGTGTCTGGTAGCAAAAGTAATTTGGCTATATATGCCACACAGTGTGGTGTGTTAGTTTCCATATACATTTATAATCATGTCTGTCTGTGGTATCCACTGTTGTGTTCAGTAGCACATATCTAATGAAGAAATTGATGTACATTGCAATAAAAGTGGCTGTACTAAATTTAACATTTGCAAGCAACAAGGCATTTATGTGACATCTTCCTTCTTACAATTGCAGGTGTTTGAATCAAGATGCTTGGCACTAGATTTCAGGTTCGGCATTTCCAGGTGAGTTAATCCTCAACCTGATTTGTGGTGTTCCAGTACATTGTGCAAATATAACATGACATCTGACTGGGATAATGCCTTCCACAGAACAACACTTTTATGACATGCAACTACATGCCTCTTGTGAATAGATGTGATACCAGCTCATACTTTGAGTTTTTAAAACTCTTTTTGACTTATTTGTGTAGTAAAATTGAAAACTATATGGTGTCAGTCATTGAACTGTGATCATTTTGGTTTGTTGTATAAAATATGTGGTGTGCAATGTCTTCAGGCTTGCTGATATTGCTCCTTGCAGGGGAAATGGGTTACCAGCATTCACAAATTGTTCTTGTGCAATGTGGGCATGGGAGCAAGCCAAGACATGGCATAAAACCAAAGTTGAAGCTGTAGTCAGTGGCTTTAAAGTTTGAAACTACATGGTTGAAGTCAAAGCCAGTGGTCTTATTTCTCAAAACATTTAAAATGTGAAGCTGGATCCAAAACCAGTGGCTTCAAACTCCACACACAAAGCATAAGTCAAAGTTAAGGGTTTTAGGAAATATTAGTTTGAAGCCAAAGCTGAACTTAGCACTTAAAAAGCATCGGGTTCTAAGACGAAGCCGAACCTATTGCGCGCTGTTGGTGCTCGAAACCATACTACTTTGTTATTTGTTAAATCTGCATTAGATCGCTAAATAGTACCGATGGTTTTGCTGAGCGACGGTAAATTTTTGGTACCGTGGTCCTTGTTCTGTGTGCTGGTATGTGCACAACGTACTAAACATTCCGTTTGCCGGCCGTCGCCGGGTGCCTTAGGTTAGTCGGCTGGTTTTTGCTTTCAGCCAAGTATACGGTGCAGCCCCGAACAACTGTGTGGGAGATTGTGGGACAGAACGAGCAAGATTGTTTTTGTGAGATTCGTAAAGTCGCAATTGCACTGAAAAAAATCGCCTCAAGAAAGCCAAAGCTGGTATTTAGGGTCGGATAATGTCAAAGCTAGATCTTCGAAGCCCAAACCGACATCAGCTCTTGAAAAGAGGACAAAAGTCGAAGCCAAAAGTAACTTTTTGAAGTGGCCCGAATCTGAATCCGCCCTTGGAAAATGATCCAAAGGCGAGATCGAACCCGAAGCCATAGGAGTTCGAGCTGTGTCTGCGAGGCCGATACCGGTGCCGACGCCGAATTCGTCCCCGGCCTGGTGCATTGCTGTGGAGGCACCGTGTCGCTGCCTGACACATCCCTGCGTGTGACATGGACCACGCATCTGCAGGTGCTGACAGCTCGGCTCGCCGCTGGACAGAGTCAGACGCCTGCTAAAGGAACGGGACCGGCTAAGCCGACTCCTCCCGCCGTCAGCGATACACCAGGTGTGATTCCAACTGGTCTTGGGGTCCGGAGGTGAACCCTACGGCGTAGGACTTGGTGCCGCAACGTCGTATGGTTAGGTGGCCCAGAATGAGTGGGGACTATTAAGACCAAGGTATAAGGTGTTGGTTGTTTTAGGTTTTCAAGAAGTTTAATAGCGGCGCTGTCCTTTTCGTCTCGACTATCGTCCAATCGGCGTATAACCGTTTAACCCAACAGTTCCACGGATCTTTGTGTGATACAACTCACCATCTAAGAAAAATGCTACGCGTGAACGTCAAGTTTGACGAGTTGCGTAAATTCAAATAGATAACCTAGTAAATTTATGTTCATAACATGTTCGGCGATTGCTGGTGTTATAGGCGGGGTTTTGCTGGCACCTCCATCGCAACAACACGTGTTGTGAAAAATGGGGAGGATGAATGTCATTGCTTATGCCACGAGAGTGCCGATTAAGGAGTATCGCCGCATATCACGAATCTTCCCGAAGGCAGAAACGGATCGCAATTAGAAATACTCACAACCCCTGGTTCCGGTTACAGTTGGGCCGGGCGCCTCGAAAGCAGGAGATTACAAAAACCCCGAATATTACAAGTACAACCCCATGTCCTACTTTGACATGGAAGTCGACATGGCCAAAGACAGGCTACCACAGCCAAGCAGCAAGCAGGCGAGCAAGTAGCCTTTATTTCACGTGATGTGAGGGTGAAGTGTAATACGTTGTTCGGAGCGCACGGTGTGAAGTGTGAATACATGTATATGAACTGAATGCGTTTGTTCACTTCATTGCACAAGGCTGTGTGGATATGAACGACGAAGAACATGCTTATTAGTGAGTTTTTGAGGTATTCCAGTCCAAGGTGCATCGCTGCGGTGGAAGAAAGATATGAATCCATGGTCGAGGGAATGGGACGGCTACGATCCTTGAAGCTGTGCTTATTGCTGTGCTCGCTAGATGTCTCTAGCGTACTCCGCCTCCTGCAAGCCACCGGAGTGGGCGTGCTCGAGATTGACGAGGTTCTGTGAGTGCAGACCCTATTTTTCACCATCAAGCTGCTTCTTACCCGTCAGAATGCCTGCGCTGATTCGCGGTATCGCCCCAAGGCTAGGTCGCTCGTGACCTTGCACCGGACGTGACCTTTGCTCCCCGCCGGAAACGCGTCTCCGTATTGATCGGGCCGCTTCCGGTCGGGGCCGCCTCTTCCCGCAATTCTCCCGGCGAGCCGAGAGGCGCGCCAGCTGACATTTACACCCGGCTGCCGCTGCCGGGGAGTCGGGGAGTCGGGCGGCCACCGGGGTCTCGACTCCGCACTGACGTTGCATCAGCGAGGGCGGGATTTACGCCGGGGCGCAGCCGGCGTTGCCTAATGGCGGACGATGCACGAGGTGGGGGCTGCAGGTCGTGCCCCACCCACGCGGCAATAACTCGGTGCGGTGAGCATCAAGACGGCCATTTGGGAAATGCTGGCGCTGCCCGCCCGAACATTAACATTGCGTGAAAGAATATTCTCGCTCTTAGTGAGCGGGGATGAGATGTCTCGTATATTGACGGGCAGAAATGTGAGAGCTGGCCGGCCCAAACGGCCCCGGTTTTGCTAGATTGTTAAGTGCATGCTGCAAACAATGCGGCACTCGTCTTTATAGCCAGGTTTGTACCTGGAGTACACGTGGAAGTCGCCTCTTGAACAAGCAGTGACATTGGTGCCAGAAAAGAGTTAGTAAATGCCGTGTTTGTGTACGCTTTAACGCTGCGCCTGTGCAAGTCATTAAATCTCTCGCATTTACTTTCCGGACTGCTTTGTTTTATTTCAGCACTTTGTTGTAGCAATATTCCTCACTCCCCACATCTCGGTGGAAACCGTGATCATTGGAAGCTCCCTGCAGCGGGAGCTGAACCCAGACCCCTGCAGCAGACCCCTGAACCCAGACTCCTGAGCGCGTTAGTCGTCCGTCTCGCGCAAATGTATGCCATTAACTCCTGGGTTTCAGGCATTATGAGTGGTGAGCTTTTTTGCTAACAATAACCGACCCTTAATAACTGATACATGACATTAATAATCAATGATGGATGTATATATATATATATATATATATATATATATATATATATATATATATATATACATATATGTGCAAATATATCTCACATAAATATATAGCATAATTAACAGCAGAAAGTATACTATTTAGACGGCTTGATCAGGCAAGCATTGGTAATCTTGACTAATGAGACGTTTTGAAGCTGCCATCATGATCACGAGATCAGCTCCCGACTACGAGCGTGATTGACACGAAAACAGCCATTTCCATGAGAAATGTTGAGTGCTTCAAATACAGTTTACCTTTTCCGACAAACAGATCACATTAGTCATTATAGGCACGACGCTAATGCAAGTAGACCTTGACACAACAGTACTGACATTGATGAAAAATACTGCCCGGCCGTCTAAGCACAGCGAGTGTACCTTACAATCACAATTCGACCACAACAATGTCTTCAATTTTGCGCCCGGCAGATACGGTCAAACGTTTCAAGGCCGTCGAGTCAACAACCCACGTTCTTCCATAGCTCGCAGTAAGTCTTCAATTCACGGGACTAACTACGTTGACTGTTGGGATAGCTTTCACGAGAAATGGTCATCATGTCATTCATAGTTATGTTTCTTGTGCAGCAAAATCTGTGAACAGAGCAACAGTCCAGAAGCTATATTTTTTGTTTTGCGACTCCGACCGATGTGCGCAAACGATTGCGGTTAGTATAGATTGCGGTTCATGAATTGACATAAATCGATATGAATGAGCTATGCAAAGTCGCAGCCAGTGTTTTGGTAAGGGGAAAGGGAGAGAAACCACAGGGTTTGGTTAAGGTCTCTCATAAAGACATCCCCAAGATGAAATAGTTTTTCGAATCTGGCCCATTTCAGTTAGATGAGTTTAGTTTTATTCCTTTTTTGTTTTACTAACTTTAACTGAAGTAGACAGGTCAGAAGCAACCTGCAATTATCCTAGCATTTAGGAGTCAGTGAATTGGACGGAGTAGACCTTTAATGACTGCATCGAACAATCACCCGGTGCCGCGCATTTTACCGTAATTAACTCAGGCTTCTCTAAATTTTGGTCTAACGCTATACGGCGTTATGGCATCATACGGTGTTTTACTTAGCTATCTGATGGTCCAAATGACACACTCTTGACTTAAGTATCACATTTGAATAATATGCATTGTGTCGCAAAAGTCCCATATGCTAAAAAACAGTAACAGACATTCATAAAACCCTCGAAATTGTGTCTGAAATATGGTTTTCCATAGATTTGGGTCTTGCAACGCGTTGTATCTCATTCGCAGTTGAAACGCAGGTCGGGAGTGTTTCATTTGGAATTAATTCAGATGCGCAGTTTCAGAGAGGGTATTTTGAAGAGCCTCCAGGATTGAACATCAGGGTAGGTGAACCGCGTGAATAAGTGAGCTCATTGTGGCCAGCCAATGTCGCCTGAAGATCTTCACACTTTCTTCAGAGTCGACCACTGCAAACATCACGTAATCCAGTTTTGAGCAGACGCGCTGTTGTCACAGCTGGTAAGGCGATGACCCCAGCGCTGCAGTCTCCGCAGACCGCGCGGCGCTGGCTGCGGCAGCTAACCGCAGGCGGCCGCCGACGGACGGACGATAACGATCATGCATCGCGAATCAGTGCTTTCAAATGTTTCATGAAGTCAATCTAAATTAACCCTGGTCGATCCGAAGGCCACCGAGCAGTACATCATGTATCGTTCCTTCCAAAATGGAGGAGGCCCTCTAAACGGACAGATGGCCCCAGATCGCCGCAGGGGCCCTCACTGCCGCTAGAGGATCCCTTACTGGAGCATGGGGTCTGGCAAGGGGACCACCAGCTTGTTAGTCTTATCGGGCCCTTGGCTGCAATGAGTCAGAGGGCCTGCGGCTTAGCACTGAGGCGTCTGACTGACACAGTCCCCTTTCATTTTCTTGTAATGGGTCCTTTATTGACATTTTTCATATATCCTTTCATTTTCAAAGGCGCCGACAACGCAAGAGGCACTCGCACGTTCGGTGCCACGTCTCTGTCCCTGCTCAGCAAATATGCTCCTGGTCAGCCCGGGGCCTCTTGCCAACACAGAAGCCCGAACAATGCAAGAGGCACTCTGAGTAATGTTCGTGGGTCCCAGTTTCGTCCCTCCTTGGGAAACAGACCTCTAGACTGTCACGGAGCTGACTGTTCGGTATTGGTGGCTGCTGACCGGCACAGAAACCCTCGTTGTCACATGGAATCCTAATCGACGCAAGAGGCTTCCTGACTAAATTCTGAGTGGTCGGCTCTGCGGACCGGGGTCCCTTGATAAGAACTGCGAGCGGCCCTCCGGACCTTCCGATCGGCCTCTTGAGATCTATCGGGCGAGGTGGATGGGTGGGGGATGAGGGTGGAGATGCGCAACCTGTAGCCCCATGCCTGCCTCCCTGGATATGTGCGAAGGTTCGTTGAACATCCTGCAGTGTTGGGGTTACCAGGTTACCTCTAATTAAAGTTTTTTACGAAGGGGATTTACAGCTTTCCATAAAACCGGATTAGCTCTAGAGGCAAGCAGATTAAAGTGGTGGTAGAAGTTAACCGGTAGCATCACTTTTCTGAAAACACCTTCATTCACACAAGATAACGTTGCAAAATGCGCGATAGTACCAATGAGTCGGTTTTGCACTGAACTGATGTCATGCTGTTCACCTCTAAGATGTCGACAAAATTAGCTCATTTTAAAAATCAGCGCGTAAAGATGCAATGTCTTATGCAATGGCTCAGATGTAATGTTACAACATTGGACCGATGGGTGCGTGGACCATGTAATTTGCTCTTTGATCGATAATTAGGCCATCTAGTGGTTTACGTTGTAATATTGCACAGTGTCCCTCATGAAGTTCTAATTAATTTTGACAAGTGCTCAAGGTTGCCCATCTTTCGACGCCAAAATTTACCCAGATAGCGGACTCTATGAGCCGTGGCGTGTATGCTCTAGCCGTGTATGCCGTGTATGCTCTCAGCCGTGTTATGCCGTGTATGACTCTAGCCGTGTATGCCGTGTATGCTCTAGCCGTGTATGCCCCGTGTATGCTCTAGGCCGTGTATGCCGTGTATGCTCTTAGCGTGTATGCCGTGTATGCTCTAGCCGTGTATGCCGTGTATGCTCTAGCCCCCGTGTATGCCGTTGTATGATCTAGCCGTGTATGCCGTGTATGCTCTGGCCGTGTATGCCGTGTATGCTCTAGCCGTGTATGCCGTGTATGCTCTAGCCGTGTATGCCGTGTATGCTCTAGCCGTGTATGCCGTTATGCTATAGCCGTGTATGCGGTGTATGCTCTAGCCGTGTATTGCCGTGGTATGCTCTAGCCGTGCTATGCCGTGTATGCTCTAGCCGTGTATGGCCGTGTATAACTCTAGCCGTGTATGCCGTGTATGCTCTAGCCGTGTTAACCGTGTATGCTCTAGCCGTGTATGCCGCTGTAGGCTCTTAGCACCACTAATAATGCCTCGACATATTGGCAGCCGAAATCCAGGTTTCCAGTTTCCATCCCTCTGTTTTTTTCACAGCGTGATGGTGACGCTGCATCTCGTCTCGCCTGGTCCGCCCGAGCTTAGGACCTGCATGTTGCGTTCAGCCTCGCTTCTGCGTGGTAAGGAAGAGGACACTCCAAGCGACCGTTAAACAGTGATGTTATCTGAAACCGGTGAACGCGACGCGGTGCGGGCGACGTGGAGCCAA